ATTGAAATAGAAAATTTTCAGTGCAATAATATTGAAAATATAAAATATTTTTTTAAAACGTGAATTGTGTGTTACGGTTAAATAAAAAGTAACATGAATTGCAAAGGCAACATTATTTAAAAGGAAATATACCTAGGTAATTTGATTTTAGGATTCCTTCGAATGTTGAACGCCGAGACGTTTGATTCTCTATAGTGTGTGTGTTCAGATCACTTCACATCAAGTGATTTCTTAATAAGACCTGGTTGCCGAGTTTATCTTAAGGACACAGCAGTTCCTGAGTTCCCAAGTTCGTTTAGTCAAAATACAGGACCCTATTAAAATTGTATAAACAATTTTTTGCACATAATTCGGGATCACTTTGTATCAATTGCCACCATAACAAATTAGATCCAATAAATCTGTTTTAAAAAATTAAAGAACTTAAAAATATGTGTAATGACCCCATTTACTATTTCTCTTTCATTTATCACTTAATTGTCCTACTTGATATGCATATTATTATATACAAGTATAGTATAGCTACCATACTATATGTAACTGTAACTTTGTGATTCCTATTTGAACTGGTAAAAACTTTTATTAATTAGTATTATTTAACATATTGATGTATATTGTTACTGAGAAAATAAAGATTGTTGTAACTAGTATTACTTTTTTTTCGGCAGTAAGTGCCGTTATGGAGTAAAACGAACATGGTTCTATTCATTTAAAAAGGAAGTCATTAATATTATTTTAAAATCAAATTAGGTGTGAAATCGGTAAGTATATATAAATTAGACAAATATTAAAATGTATCACCCTTTTTAACACACACGCTACTGGTTAAGAGTTCCCTAGTAAACAAAGAACTATCTTCATCCTTGTTTAATAGCAGGATGTCTCAAGTTGTGGAAAATCAAAACAATTCCTTTGCAATGTATAGGGAATTACTTGTCTAGTCATTCTGAGGTCTTTGATCTCTACTAAAATCCAGGCCTTAAGGCCAGACCTGGCCTGAATAGTAGTACCGCCGGAATTCTGTTCTGTTCTGTTATCTTCTTTGCAATGTAGAACACGTGATAAAAAAATATACGTAAGCGGAAATTTTTTTTTATTCATTTAATGTTTAATGAGTATTAGACATTATATTTATTTTTGGAACAGTAGTTATGTATTTTATTCTCGAGTCATATGACTTCAATTGTCTACAAGAATATATAAAATATACACAAAAGTCACAAAACAGTGAAAGGAGAGAAAAACGATTGTATACGTCAAAATCAAGAATAGACTCCCTAATATTCTGTTTTTAAATATGAAAATATGTACACCTTTTTAGTAAAGCGACATTCTTCAAATAACTTAAAACTTATTTTTACGGTGGTAACAGTTCTTTAAATTTTGGATACTTAATAAGTAAGTATTTTGAGTATGATTTCAGTATACTGAGTAATATTAGGGCCTACCGACATAAGTCGTTCCTGGGCGCAAATGCGGCCTGCTTAATAATAATATGCCGCCTCCTCTCACGCACAAGTCTCCGACTTCTGGGCTAATTCTCGTAGTTAGAATGAGAAGTAGATATATTATTATTATTATAATACACTGATTTATTTTATAATAATATATTCACAGTATTAATTGTGAACCTTAAGGTGGCACTCCAGGCAGTTCATCGGCGCGCGGCGTCTAATTCCGAGGAGTGGACAACTCTTTAAATATGGTGTACACTTTTCGGGCTAGTTGTCCACCCCTCGTCTAATTCACATACGACAATGATAATGACACCATAATTTGCTATTTTAGTGCTGCCCGGTACTTTGAGTCTCGGTTAAAGCTTGATTAACTGATCAGGCTATTAGACTGTACATATACTGATTTATTTATAAAGTATAATCACAGTCTAATCGTCTGATTAGTTGATCAAGTCTTAACCGAGACTGAAAGTACCGGGCCTAAGAGTTAGCATTTTCAGAATTCATAGTAGTATGGATAAATGGACTGGTCTAAAAAAATAAAAAAGAACTAATCAGCTAATTTTGTTATTTCGTTGACAATATCTTATTAATTTACGAGATTTTGTTACACCATGCTAACGGCCCACGCGGTATTACTCAGCACCTCTCCACGTAGGTACTACAGCAAAAAGTTTTCAATTTTTTTTTATGTTTATAAACCGCGAATGTTTTGACTGACTTTCATTTCACACATTGTAACAATAGTATATATCATAATAAAAAAGTAGCGAACCTACTCTGAAATACGTAAGGGCCATTCTTGTTCGTATAATGTGCACAATGAAATGTTTTATTGAGTCTTCTAGTCCTAGACTTTAATATTTCAGAGTTTATAATAAAAAAAAGGTGTAAAAAATTTGGTACGAACGCGTTTTAAAAAAATTGTGCACTACAAATTCAGTGCAAACAGCTGAAGTATCAAATCGTTTTATTAGTATAACGACGTGACTTAGTTTTCAATACTTATATACAGTTTAAGATAATAAAAAAGTCGTAACAAATCCGGTACGACTTGGAACAAGTTTTAAAATATCTAATATTCGCAGTCAGTGTAACGCCAACACAGGGAAATCATGGACCTCATCAGTTGGGACACCCTATACATTATTTTTGAATAAAACACACTAATTAACGTGATTGATAATTTTTTTAAAACATTTTTGTGTTCATACCAAATGTATCCTAATTTAGTTTCTCGCACTGCATTTTATATTGTAGTGATAAATTTTCCAACGCGTATCGTTTATGTTTATACTAATGCAAACACGCAATTTATATACAGGGTGCGGCATTAGTGCGTCGAAGTACGATATCTCCTTTATTACAGAAGGTATCAAAAAAAGTTATTTACAAAAATTGTAGCCAACTTAAAACTACACATTATATATAGGGTGTTACGTATTACCAGGGTGAACCAAACATACTATTTTTTAAATGTGGCGCCCTATATATTGCAAAAATTTAGATTAAGCTCATCTCTCCCATGCTTCCAATATAGGGTTTAATTATGTTATATACATAATTTTCTCAATTTTTTTAAATGAATCACCCTGTATTTTATTTTAAAAACTGATAATACACTTTATATTCTTTCAATTTTATAAAGCATTCCCCCTATAGCTGAAATCATTAATTTCTGAGATATTTACCATTTAATAACAAAAAATAGTGTTTAAAAAATTCCTGTTTAACAAGTTGGCCGTGGGCAAATGACAGTCTGACATATTGTTATAAAACTACAAAATATCCGTTGTTAAGACGAAATTCTTATAATATTAACCAACTTGTTATAATATGAATTTTTTAAAACTATTTTTTATTAATTAATTAAATGGTAAATATATCAAAAATTAATGATTTTAGCTATAGGGAATGCTTTATAAAAATGAAAGAACATAAAGTGTATTTTCAGGTTCTAAAATAAAATACAGGATGATTCATTAAAAAAAATTGAGAAAATTATGTGTTCGAGATTTCATATATTCAACTGTTGCAATAATAAAGAAATAGCTCTTTCTCGTAAAACTGTACCAATATCAAAAAGTTATGCCTGCAAAAAATTATTGTTAAGTTGTTCTGTTTAGGGTATACAAGACGCTGCAATGGGAATGATTCTCGTATACAAATGACCATAACTTTTGAAATACCCTGTATAACATAATTAAACCCTATATTGGAAGCATTGGAGAGACGAGCTTAATCTAAATTTGAATTAATATATAGGGTGTCTCATTTAAAAAATAGTAGCAGTGGTTCACCCTGGTAATATGTAACACCCTATACATATACACGAAAATAATTTTAAAATGTGCAGTTTTAAGTTAGCTACAATTTTTGTAAATAACTTTTTTTGATATCTTCTATAATAAAGGATATATCGTACTTCGACGCACTAATGTTGCACCCTGCATGTTAAAAAAATTTAATTTGCACATGATAATACCGGGTAGGAAAGTACCGATGGTCTACCTGAAGTTACGTGAGAGCGATAAAGTAAGCCATAGAAATCCATGTGATAGATAAGGATGGGTATAGTGAAGGCGTCTAATAGTCACCGCCCATTTCGCCCTTCCACAAATAAGAAGTGGATCTTATTTGTGGAAGGGCGAAACGGGCGGAGACTATGAGACGCCTTCATTATAGCCATCCTTCTCTATCGCATGGATTTCTATGGCTTACTTTATCGCTCTCTCTCGTAACTTCAGATAGACCATCGGTACTTTCCTACCCGGTATATTTCAATTTCCAAATATTATCTATCCTGCTGTTTAACTCCCCACTAAAAATAAATTTACCTATTTTTTTTTAAACAATAACTAATGTACTGCGTTTGTTCATGGAAATTGTTCGCGGCGTGTGACATTTCAATGGGCATTTAATCAATGGAAATATTCGATATTTATTTTATGCTACAAATAAGTTTGCATCTGAGATAGCTCCGCCCACAAATGCGGACTGGATCAAGAGAAACGCTCCAGGTAGTCGTTGTTCCAAAGCGCAGCGTCTACGTCCTATGCTTTCTAGTGGAATGCATTCTTTCCCCAATCTCGTGCAGCTTTGCCTGAGTCAGAAACACAAACTTATTTGTCGGTCTGAAAACTGAAACGGTTAAATTTACCACGATTTAACAAAAGTACCTATTCTCTTGATAGTCCACAGATCTGTTTTTCAAGAATTTAAAAAAATCGTGTAAAAATAAAATAGTTGGGGATGAAACAGTGACAGTTACTCCTAGAACTATTTTTCATGTTGGATTTGAAGATATCTCGAAAAAATACATCTACCACTTTCCTTTAAGGTTTAAGGGATAGTTATCTCCCTCCTTTTCGTATGAAATTTTTAAATAGTTATGTCAAATGTTATAACCATCTCTTTTGGTTATATTATATTATACCGAGTCATCCTAGAACAACGACCTTTTCCCAAGATTTGGAAGGGAATGCTAAACTCTCACTTCAGAAGTGATTTGATATACAATAACTGTTGATGGTGGAAGTTTACCTGTTCAGGTCCCGTGAATTTTTTCCCGTCCCTGACCATGTTGGCCAGCCAGAAGGTCCGCCTATATAGGTTGAGGATGAGACACAACGTGGTATCGGCCACCTCCTCCACACCGTACCCGGGCACATTGCACACCGCTATCCCCAGCTCGCCGGCCGCCTTCACGTCGATATTGTCGACGCCACTGCCGATACGCACTATGATGCGGAGAGTCTTGAACTTCTCCAAGTCCTCCTTGGTAAGGATGATGGTGTGCCACATGAGCGCGCCCACGGCCTCGTTCAGCACCTTCTCGTGTATCTCGCTGGTGCTCTGCGCGTCACAGAAGGCCACGGTGGCAACGTCCTTGAGGATGGGCATCTCGATGGAGCAATCGCGACCGTCCAGCAGCGCCACCAGGGGTCGCGCCTGCATTGGTCCGTTGGAGATGGGACCGCGCGATTCGAACCTAGGCCTTTTTGGCATCATTTTCCGTTTGTCCATTGAGGAACGCTCACCAGATCACAAGGAACTAGCCACTAGCCGCCGCACATGCACCAGCACTGCACCTCACACTCCGCCACTCGCACCACCGCACTCCTCGGCGTCGCCCGCCTGTTCGGGCCGCGGCTTCTTCTTTCGGTTCCCCGGCACCCCGACGACCACTGCTACCGCGACGTCGACCCTTAGGTTACGCTTCGCGGCTGAAGATACGATCCATTGTCGCACATGAAGATGGCCTGCAACAAAAAAAAATGATAAATAATGATTTATTAGCACTAACAATAATAATGATAATGATAATAATGTTAATAATTTTTAACAAATATAATGAAAAATAGTACAGAAAAAGACTAAATATTTTTGGAATCTCCATTGCCTTTTCTGCTATAGTTAGTATAATTTGATATCGAAAGAAAAACACAATATTCCAGTCTCAATCTGGTTAAACAGTGTGTAATTTTATGGGGGTCAGTTCTTTTAGGAGTAATAGTACCTACGTGTCCCCCTGACTACGTATCTGAAATTCTTTTTTTATGCACTTTAATTTTTGCTATCGGGTTTGTTTGTTGATTTATTTATCAGTTTATCAGTTGTTAGAGGGGAACAGTGGAAAATAATTTAGTAAAACAGATTGCTTTTGCATGGCTTAGCGACTTGTTATTTTAAAGTCGTCATATTTTTTTTGATATCAATGTGGACGAAGCGAGGAACATTAAAAATACATTCTATTGTTTTTAAAACAATTAATTTATTTACGAGATTTATTATTTATTAACCAATATCGGTACGTACCTAGTTGATATGAAATATTTTATAAAATCGTTTTAAGTTTTTGCAAACAATTATGTGTTACTATTTTTTTTTTAAAACAGTGTATGTATTTAATCTGTGAATCTCAATGTCAATGCCCTCTGACATTAACCTAGTTTAGCTGAACTATACTATTGTTACTATGTAAAGTAGATAGAAATGAATTTACAAAAGTTAAAACAAGTAATATTAAAGAGTTATGGAATCCTACACAAAATACGGTATGATTCTATCGAAGGGTTGGCCACTCTTTAAATATGTGCAATTTAGTTCTAAATACTTTTAAATACCATTAGATACATAAATACAGTTAAATATATCTAAATATACTTAAATATTTTTAAATGCCATTAAATACACTTAAATACAATTAAATTAAATACTTTTGAATATGGTTAACTACACTTGGATGTGTTTATAAGTTTACAATTTGCCCAATTTTTCTGAAAATCTTTTATTAAGGCAAGTAATTTTGCAATAATTTTTAAACTCAATTTTAGGCAAATGTAAACATATATAAGTACATATACCTCCAAACATATAAGTTAATGAATATTCAATATAAATTAATCAATTTTTTTTTAAAATCAACCTAAATATATTTATTAGATCCTTATTGTAAATCTGTTCTCGCTAAAATAACTGCTCTATAAATAAACCGCTTTAAGTTAATTTGTTTTGTCTTAAAATTTACATGTTTGGAGACACCCACAGAATCATTACCAGTCATTGTGAAAAGTATTTAACTTTCGAATAATTCATTCTTTGCTTCTTACTTTGTATTACAAAATGGTTTCGAATAACGCCTTATCACCTGTGTACCCTCAGATGTGCCCTCGGTGCAAAAGATACCAGGAAGACATGGAAAAATCTATTTTTGAAATATTTGAGGATAGATTTGNTAAAATAGGTGCGATAAAATTCTATTTACATATTTCTTTCCTTGCGAAAGTTTTTGTCCGTTTTTATCACGCCGCCATACCGGTCGCATTGTGCGAGGTCAGGTTTTACAGTGGACCAGTTTCCAGTGTTGTGCAGAAGTGTATTTTTAAATCATTTTCGAACTGACCTTTTTGATTTTTTCTTTACAAAATTGTATTTGTAAGGGTCCCCTGTACATCCAGAATTTTTTTTTTTTTGATAAGTTCTGAATCACCCTGAATATCTAAATATACTTAAATATTGAATGTTGTAACGACCTCTGCATCAATCCTCAATATCTCCACATTCTGAATGCGTTGTGCCTACTAATTGTAAGAAAAGAAAAATAACATCAATAAAAACTAAAACCGATGCCTTGAGATTTCTGTCGGAGAAAAAAATTAAATAGTGCAAAAATGTGTTAGATGGATCAAGAATTATATATTTAGTAATTTACAAAGTGGCGTGGAAGCTAGGGTGGAAAATATTCTCCTAAATGAGAATAAAACTAAGATATCACTTAATTTAGGGCAGACCGAGGAGCAGACCGACTCGTCTTATATTACTTGTTACCTTGTGTTCTTCAGGTTGTAAAATTTTTAAAATCTTGTGTTGACACTTGACAGGGAAAAAAATCGAAAAGTACTGTGCAATATTTTATGAAGAAGACTGGTTTTTAGGACGGATAATTGAAAACCAGAATGGTGTTATAATAAAGTTTTTTTAAAAAAGGCTTGGATCAATACAAATAACGAGGACATGCAGGTAGTTCAGGAAAAGTTTATTTTCTATGAGCCCATCAACTTATTAGGAAACACATCCTTTTTTTAAAGGTTTGACAAAGTAGCAATTTTAAAAAATATAAGAACCTTAAAAAAACATTTTAATTATGTATTTATATCGATTTTTACATACATTGCTATGTAAGTTATATTTATCAAATAAATAACTTTTTCTGCATTACTGTATATCATTATTTGCATTTCCTTAAATGTTCAAAAACTCAGTTTTTAAACAGAAACAGAAAGTAGGTTCAAAATTCTCTAAAAACTTTAATTACTAGGGTTTTGAGTGATTAATGTGGTTAAGAAAAATCATAAAATAATTTCTGAAACATCAGCAGATCATCGTAATAAGTTCTACAATAATTACATTGATTCTAAGCATTTATTTTTAAAATTTCGTAGACCTAAATATTGTACCTACATATGAAAATAATTTCAGATAATTAGGTAACAAAAGTACGATTTTAGCATATTAGATACAGAGCTAGATGCTATTAAATATATTTAATTACACTTAAATACTTTTAAATGCTTGAAATACTATTATTTATACATAACCACATTCAAATTTAAATACAATTAAATCCCTGAAGGGTATTTACAATTACCTTTAAATACGTTTAAATACCATAAATACTTTAAATATCCAAGTATTTATAAATACGTGTACAAATTTTGTGAAGTGGATTCTACTCCTTTTTCTTAATCAGTCACTTCAACAGCTAATCGGTGCTAGACATAATAAATTAATCCAAAATAAACAATACAGCATAAAATTAAAAAGTGAACAGTTTAAATTACGATCCTGATATGAACGCCTATGAAGAGCAACAGAGGTTAGCCTACGCTGTTCAGTTGAAATGTCGTATTGCCGCGTCTGAAAAGCCGCTAATGCCAGCTAACTTCACACCTGGTATGATATGAGGGGTTGGTAAACGGGTAAACAAACAAATTCGACGAACCGGGAATGGCCGAATACGTCGTCACCACTTCATTTCAAAAATACCCTGGAAAAAACCTGGGAAAAATGTGTCCACTTACTTTTGATTGTCTAAAACCTCCAACAGATAATAGACCCAGACATAATAGACATAATAGACTCCAAGACATAATAAATTTGTTATTGTATAGCGCACTCGTATAAAACCATGGACATGACATAGGACACTGACAAATTTCTATCAGAAACATCCTTAGATATTCAATCAATATTTAAAAGTTCAAACAACAAGCAAACAATGTTTGCCTCGAGGTTGGCCTATACGATTTATTTTGCATTATACTAAATAATGAAGAAAATAATTTTATTACGTACAGCATAGTATGAAATAGGTGAGCTTTGACCGTTTAAAACATTTAAGGTTTGCCCCGGGAGTTGAACAAGCGAAAGACGACTTGGGAGAACCAACCCGGCGGGTCCGCCAAATTCTGAAACACACATTCGGTAACTTTGTCGAAACCAAACATCGCGCAATAATAGTTGGCAACTTTGGATGTTTTAGTCGTAGTTGTAGCCGTCGAGTTCGAATTAGTTTAACTGTGGGAGTTGTGTGTGTCCTAGGAAACTAACTCCAATTGCCGGCGCATGTTTGCCGCCACCCCCGAAACTTTGTTACTCTCCACTATAACATTTATCTTTGTTTTGTTGCCGCGATGGCGGGAACACTTCGACCGGCCCGAGAGTTTATGACGCCTCCCGCCGCAGATTTCGACTAACTTTTAAATCAAACATCACGTCCTAAAAAATGTACTTAGGGAGATGAAAATATATCGAATTTAAAGCTGAACTTGCAAAAATTTGAAAACTGACTTATTTTATCTAACGGGTAACTCCAATTATTTAACAAATAAGGCTATATTTTATAATTTTTCAAAAGATTTGTCTAAAATACTCAACATTTGAGCAAAAAAGATAATTTCAGCTTACGACTCATCAGTAGAATGAGATATTTGCGTTGGCGTTTCGTTTCCAGTGCATTGTACTATAGATTTACAGTTAAGCAATTAGCCACTACTATTGGTCGTTGTTGGCACTGGCAGTTAACAATATGACAAGACCGAACAGAATTTCCAATACAAGTGTAAAAATTCATAATTCTGAAGTTTATAGTAAAAAACGTCATAATACCCTTAATTTAGTATAATTTTGGGACAAATCAACAAAAAAGTTCTGTAAACATGTTCGTAAACGTTTCGCCTTTGTTTACAAGATGTTACATTTTGAGAAAAAGTATTTTTCTAAATTTGTATGTGTTTATTTATTTTAATAAACTATTCAACAAGTAATCCCCAATTGTAGGGACAAGATAAAGAGAAAAGCACATTAATTTAATTACAAATACATATTTAAAAAAAGAATGTAATAAGTAATAAATAAATAAAGCATTAAATAACGCAGGATGTCCTGAATTTTTGACACGATAATTCCAAAGAGAAAGTAAAAATAATTTTATTTTGCTATTTAAACTTGAGAAATCACCGTTTTTGAGATGTGTTAAAGTTTTCAGAGGAATATTTAGTTCTCTAAATGTCGTTGTAACAAATGAAGACATATTTTGTGTGTATAATATATATGAATAAAATGGTTCTTAACATGAAAAAATGAAGTCTCAAATCAAATTGGTGGTGTAGATATCAGAAATATTGTTTACATTTTCTTCAAGAATTATACTACGCCACTGGAAAATAGATAATTATTTTTTGCCATATTTTTTAATGAT